AAACATCGACGTGTTTTTCATCCGCAGATAGAAAAAGACGACAATTCGTCACTATAATATCATAAGTTTTTTTTTTCCTAAGATTAATTTCGATTTTAACATTATAATTGATAAATACTTCGTCATTCGTATTAAATTTATGATTGATTATGTTCTTCATCGTAAGATTTAGAGGGCGCGATCATGGTCAAAAGAAAAAAAAAACATATTTTAATAGTCATATTTCTACTGACGAGAAAAAAAAACGTTTCGACCTGTTTTCTATTTCAAATTAAAATACTAATTAATTCAAGACTTACACTGTGAACAACAAAAATTTTTTGAAGAGCAGACATTTCATCATTACTTTCTTCATCATCATCAGTTTCTTTTGGTTTTTTTTCAGTATCATTAACAGGCCATTTAAATTGTTTTTTATTTGCATTTAATTCAATACCAATAATTTTCTCATCCAAAACCATTTGTTCACGCATAGAAAAGAAATTATAAAAGCAAAAAAGAAAATCTGTAAAAAAAAAAAAAAAAACAAATTTATATTTCTACCCGCCCGTAGAAAAAAATTTTTTTTTGGTGTACGAACTTATAAATAATAAGAATGAGTCAGATTTATATTGATTGTATATCAATGCCTTCGAAAAGATTTTATTTAATTAAAAAAAAAGAAGAATTCATATTTATTCTTTAGAATATAAAATCAAAAACAAAAAAAATATGATTTTTTATATTAAATCTATTTATATATACACTTTCAAATCTATGATAGACGTCGCTCTAATTCAGTATTTTCTCTCTCTCTCTTTAATAATAACGAGAAATTAATAGCTTGAATATTTTTTTTTTCTTTTGTAATGATCGTTATGTACTTGTCGTTTTTCCCATCAAAAACAATTGATATGTAGACATTTTTCAAGAGGAAAAAGATCGATTCAAAATGACATCACATTCAATAATCTCACAATTCTTTTCTTCAACTAATGAAGCTTGCCAGTTAGAAAATACAGAAGAAGAAAAAAAAAAAAGCGTATCAAAATTGATCGATGAGGAAATATTCACTCCTGTTGTGTGTATGTATGCATTATTACGAAATTGAAGTGTATAAACGCGTGTGACGAACACGGAAACATTATAATTGTAGACTTATGATGCATACATATATATTTCGTTTTTTTTTTTTTTTCTCATTTCTTAAAAGATCAAATTTCGATTTAATCATGTCAAAAATAAAATAATCTATACAATCATTAGCAAATATATATTGAATTCTAGTAAAAAAAAAGTGCGAGATTTAATGATTATGATCAAAAATCAAAATTTATAGAAGTCTATTCGAAAATTTCTATATTCTCTAAGGCAAAAAACAAAAGTTTCGCCATTACTGCTTTGTTATTATTATAGAAATAGTCAATAGATATACTAAAATAATTGAAATTCTCATTGTTTTTTGCATAAAATTATGATATCATCGTTCTATATCAATGTCAGTTAATTCTTCAAGCTATTATTAATCTTATTATCAATAGGATTCATATAATAATAATAATTTTTTTGTTGTTTTGTAATGTTAATATCAAAAACAAAACAAAATATGTATTATGCTTTAAAATACTAATTTATTTATTTGTTTTTCTCTATCTCGTTGTTTCTATCTAAATACATTTCATGGCTATGAAACTATAACACACAAAAAAAAAAGTAAATCAATTTGTTATAATATTAATTACTAAACATTTCTATATAAAAATTTAAAATTCTATTCGAACTCCTCAAAACTATCTCACCCCCCCCCCCCCCCCCCCCCCCCCCCGCCGCAAAAAGAAAAGAAAATATTTTTATTGGGTACATAAATGTTCTTATTATTACCCATAGGTAAAGTAACAATTTCAGCACAAGGTAATACATAATAAATAGCTATTATAAGTATAACAAAAGAAAAACAAATAAATCGACATGTATACTAATTTTCTCTCGACATTGTTTAGTTTTTCAAAAGACGAAGAGAGAGAGAGAGAAAAAAGAGACGAAAGAAATATAATGTGTTTGCAAATCGATACTATTATGTGAAGGTAGTCACGGTATAGTGAGTATTCTCTTTTTCTTCGGCTCATTTATTTAATTTGCCCTCGTCGAACAAACAGATTGGTAGTCACTAGTAAGAGAGAGAGAAAATTTCCTATTGGTTTATATGTTATTTTTTTTTTTTGTGCGCTATATGTGCAAGTAATGTTAGGTTTTCTTTTTTTTTCTTTTGCTTTCTCTTTCTTTCTCTTTCTCTCTTTCTCTTTACAATAAAAGAAAGCATACATCCGATTTGCTCTTACTGTTGTTCGACATGCATTTTTACATGCTAAAAAACATCGAATAGATATACCATTCTTTTTCTTATTTCGGTTTTTAGAAAATTTACAAATATACAATGAGTTCAATAACAAATAATTCTGTAGAAATATCATCATTTTATCCTCATCTTTCAATGATGCCATCATTAATTAATAATATTCCTAAATTACCACCAAATATATATCGACCAAATTCATGGATGGATCTATCAATGCAACCATATTTTTATTATAATATAGCGTTAGTAAAATAAAAATAAAAGGAAAATAATTTTACTTATTCTTGTCTTTTTTTTTTAGTGTCAATGATCCTAATCATAAACGAAAAAATGCTACACGCGAAACAACGGGTACGTTAATGACAAACGTGTTTATTCCCATAAGTCAATATCATCATTATTATTTATTTCTCATCATCATCATCTAAAGAAGTTAAAAAAAAAAAAGAAAACGAGTCCCGCTTGATGACAGAAGAAAAAAAAAGACGTGACTAAGCAAAAAAATCTCATCTCGTTTGATATGCAGATCGATTGCATACGTTACATTCCTCTAGTGTGTGTGTGTGTCTTGCTTTTCCATAGTATATATATAAAGAGAAAAACGCATTAAAAAACATTGATTAAATTCCTTTGAGCCTTTTTAAGTGGATGGGATCATTTCTTTTTTTTTATTCATTTAAGCTACACTTAAAGCATGGTTATATGAACATCGAAAAAATCCATATCCAACAAAGAATGAAAAAATGATTTTAGCTATGGTTACAAAAATGACATTAACACAAGTTTCAACATGGTTTGCTAATGCACGACGACGTTTAAAAAAAGAAAATAAACTTCATCGTACAACAAATAATAGTAAAAGTGAAGAAGATGAAGATGATGTTGATGATGATGATGATGATGATGAAGAAGAAGATGAAAATGAGAATGATAATGAATCTCATAATATTCAACAAGAACAGACAATTCAAAATACAAATAATTTAAAACGAAAACTTGATGATAATAATGATACAAATACATTTTCAACACCATTACCACCACCTAAAACTCGACCTAAAATATGGTCTATTGTTGATGTTGTTCAATCGAATGAAACAAAAACAACAAATTCATCATCATCATCATCATCAAATATAATACATCCATATATAACACCTTCTATACCATATTTATTATATCCACCATCATCAACAAGTTCACCATCACGTTCATCTGAACATTCAACTAATTCATTATCATCACCAATATCATCATCAGCTAGTTGTTCACCGACAAAATAAGAATTCAAAAAACTCAAAAAACAGAACATAAACTTTTTTTTCTTTTCTTTTCTTTTTTTGTATTTTGTTGTGAAAAATATAAATGTATATTAATACGATCTTAAAAGTCAAAAGATCATATTCACCAAAAAAAAAAAAGTGTCAAATTAACGTGTGTGCTTCACACACATTGGATAAAGATTTTTTTTTTTTGTTTTGTTTTCTTGACTAGTCAAGTGTCTAATAGCTGTCCATTAGTTTGTTTCATGTCTTTACTCTCTTCATATGAGAGATTTTTATATTCGATAAGTCGATACACACAACACCTTTTCTTTTTTTTCAATGTTTGTCTCTTATCATCTATATCGATGCATAAGATCAATGGTGGTGGTGGTGGTAAACAAAATTGAAATATTCTTTTCTTTTTGTGTTTTCTATAAAGAAAAGTCAATGTATTTAAACTTCAATGATGAGTTTTATTCTTTTGATCTTCTTCTCTTCATATAATTGATATTTCACACTAATAATTATTCACTGAATGATATGATGACCATCACCTATCTTACAGCTGCTACATATATATTGTTGTTATTGATAATGATGATAGTGTTTTTTTTTTTTTAATACAAGCAAAAGAAAAATAATAATAAATTATAATTTGATCAGACCATAGAAATTTCTTCTTTTTTTTTTATATTTGCCTACAGTCTAAATACACCTTTTCTCTCTCTTTTCTTCTTCTTCATTGACATATGTTAAACACGATGTTTAATACACTTTGAATGGCAACAGCAGTAAGAAGAAGCAAACAAAAGAAGAAATACTGTTGAATTGTACCATATTGAAATAAAATATGCTAATCAATCATAGTGATGCTGTAGAAAAAAAGTCAACACGCATATGCACCCTCACATACATCGATCCAACGAGAGCACATTATTATGAATAAAAAAAAAAAAAAAAGAAAAACTCAAGTGTGATGATGAAGATGATCATAGGTCGTCATTGTTGTTCTTTTATTTCTGTTTGATGTTGATTGGCATGTTTCTTTTTTTCTTAACACGATAATTATAGAGTATCATCAGTGAACACGTCAAATATTTATCGATATTTGCTTTTCGAATAGACAAAATGAATAGTGATCTAACTCAACGTTGAGATGATGACGCCTGTTCGCGTGCTCTTCTGATAACCATCGGTCTATATCTGGTGCACGCCTTAACTCTATCTTTCTCTCTCTCTCTCTCCTACTCTCGCGCGCGCGCTTCTCTTGTCGCATATAAAAGTATTAGTTAGAAGGGCGAGTTTAATGATGGATATGTTCAATGAAGAATGAATCTAGTACGAAAGACGATGAGTTGTGACACGCTCAAGTGATAACAATCATTGTCATTATTTCGTTTTTTTTTTTTCGACATAAGACAAAAAATATGAATATATATATGAGAGTCGTTAAGGCGTTTTGATCGATGACTATAATGATGAAAAAGCTTGTTGACAATGTCTGAAACTTTTTTTTTTTTTTCGTTTTTTTTTTCTTTGCTTTATATAGAAAAATTATTTAATATAAATTATACAAAGACTCCTCCATCCTGCATTTTTCTTTTTTTGTTTCTTCTTCTAGGCCACTTATCATTACAATCATCGATCAATCGTTTCGATTAATAGCCGGCAGCAATTGAAAAGATTACATCTCGGGTTTTTTTCTCTCTCTCTTACTCAGACTTGAATGTCTGTCTGTTTTCTAAAGAAGATGCAGAATAACTAACAACAACAAAAAAAAGAAAAGGATCAGTCTGTTCCATGTCTCGTCTAGGGAAATCAACCAATCGACATGGCAAGTTGCCTTCCTATATTTCTATATATACACATGCAAAATAACAAAATCTATTCGTTTTTTCACCTGTCTATCATTCATATACAAAAAGAAAGAACAATTGAACTTCTAATCGGATTTAAGTTACCCGTGCATGTCAACAAACATTGGTTATATCTACACAAGTGTATGTATATATACACGAGAAAGTGTACAGGTAAAAATTATACGCCTTTCTCATATCATACATAAAGATGATGATGATGATGATTATGTTTTCTCTTTTATTTATATGAATATGCATATGCATATACATATATATTAAACGACAGGTCTAATCGAGCACGAATCAAGAACGATAGTATGTCGTTAACGATTAATAGCGAATAAGATTTGTATAGAAAATAATCACTTTATACAATGTGTATACAATCAAATCGATGAAGGTTAACTTTTGTCACCTTAAATATAATAACAATATGTTTTTTTTTTAGTGGATTATCATATACAATGAATAAATAAAAGATAAATTACAATTGATAAAAACTAAAAAGAACAGAAAGAAATATGAACAAAATCAAATAGAATTTAATAAGTATTGATATTCTATAATTAAATAGAAATGAAATTTTTTTTTGTTAAAAGAAAAATTATTATTATAGTTATACATTGAGTTTTTTTTTTTTTTATACGTCACTGATTTTGATAAGTTGTCAAATACATATTGTATTATTTTGATTTGTATTAATATGAAATGATAGTTGACTTCGAGTTTTTTTTTACATACGCTTTGATCTTAATGTTTAGTTATTTACATTATGAATCTTGTAATATTATAATGTTTATAAATAAGTATATGATTAATTTGAAACAAGATAAAAATATATTCATAGATTAGTTTAAAAATAAACACATACATACACAAACAAAAACCTATGAACATTTTTAAAGTGTTGATAATGTTCTTAATACAATATAAAAAGTATATTGATTTGAAATTTATACGAAAGTCATGATTATGTGTCTATACATGTACTTGATAAAATATCCAAACTCTTATGGCGTTTACATTAATCAACATAGTTAATAGAAAAAACAATTTTTTTCAATAGATGAATATGAAAGAATTTTTGTTTCTTGATACTTGACATTCTTAAATGAAATTGATTTATAATATGAATTATATAATCTTAATGAACAAAATTTAAATGGTATAATTTAGTCGATCAAAAGCAAATATCATTTTGATCATATGCTTAAAATTTTTTTTTTTTTTTTGTTCTTTAAAATAATATTGTCATAATAAATATTTTTCATAATATGGATATTAGTATTTAGAATGTAAAAACAAAATTTGTTAAGTTTCACAAAAAAAAAAAGATTATGTTTAATTTTAAGTGATTTGATAGTAATTCATCATAGTCAATGAGAATAACGTATCAATCATTCTTATCACATTGATAATTGTTTGCAACTTATTTTTTTGTCATCAAGATTAGAAATGAAACATGTAATTTCTTATAAGTCTTATTTTATTCAAATTAATAGAAGATATATTTTTCTCAAAAATTTTTTAAATTTAACAATTCTGAGAATTATAAAAATTATATCTATCTCGAAACCAAAAGTTCGTAGAACCTTGTCGGATAAGGTAATCTATTCAGAAATAACAAAAACTAAATATACCATGTTGTAGAGCTTTTTGAGATGCATCGAATGGTATATATTTTCATAAGACTTTGAAGGAACTATAGAGTCAATTTACTGATAGACGACCGGAGATGCTACATATATGAGATTGTAGTCCGTCAAAAACTCTGTACTTTCGACTAATCCCAAGGACAGTAACCTATCATACTTAGGTGAGGGTGCATAGTCGTCTATCAGTAAATTCCTTCAAAATCTTATGAAAACATATACCATTCGATGCATCTCAAAAAGCTCTATAACATGGTATATTTAGTTTTTTTATTTCTGAATAGGTTATCTTATCCGACAAGGTTCTTTAAACACCCGTTCTACGAACTTTTAGTTTGCCCTAAGTATTAATAATAGTATATGTGTAAATCAGTTAATTTATGATTAATGAGAAATTATTTTAATTTTATTATTTTTTTAATAACAAAAAAAGAAAAGAAAAGAAATCTATTATTTAACTTTATAATTAATATTATCAGTTATTAATAATTTTGAATGATTATTATCAATCCATTCATCAGTTTCGTCCCATATATAAATTAAACTAATAATCATAATAATAGATAATAATAATAAATCTAATATTAAAAAAAATCGAATAGAAAATATAATTGATCGAAATATTGGTGCACATGTTTTAATTATATTCCATTGTTGTTTTTTCATTTCATTTTCTTCAATTATATTTTTACATGTAGGAAATAAAATAAAATAATCTCTTTCATTAACTGAATCAAATAATATTTCTTCTTGAATTCGACAACATTTATAATGATTTAATGTATTCGATAATAAACTTATATTTCGATCATTATTCATTATATTTATTGTTAATAAATTCATTATACGATAATATATATTAAACATATAAATAATATAAATAATACATGTAGCAAAAGTTAATAAAGGTAAAAAAATGATTAATATATATTTTAATTTTTGATAATATCCACGATAATTATATATAATAAGATTTATAATAGAACAAATTATATTAAATATTAATATTATAATAAATATTTTTGACCATGTTTGAATAATAAAAAATGTACGTGTTAATAAACTTGTTAATATAACAAAATACCATAAGAAAATTCTTATATATGTTAAAAATTTAATTAATGAAATATTTGACATTATTATCAAAAAATTTATCACAAAAAAAATACGAGACGAATTCTAAAAAAAGAAATAATAAGATTATCTAATTTATATAAATGACTACTTTTTATTTTAAATATGTTCTATTGTTTCTATTAAAAACAGTATAACATATAATTCTTTTAAAATAAATAGTAGTTAATAATCATTAAATATGAATGAAATTAACAATATAATAAATAAATTTTTTACATATATTTTTTTAGTAGTAAAAGCAGCATCTTACATAAAAGTATAACAATTTAATTGATGTTTATAACGATGAATTATTCCTAAGAAAATTAATTATTAATATTAGCAGAAGAAAAACAAAAAAAAAAAAGCAAATATAAATTAAACTTACGAATAAGAATATTGTTCAGTTTTTGGATCAAAAACAACAAGAGAAATGGTCGAACCTGGACCAATTGTATCTATAACAATCGTTTACAAAATAAACTTTATTAGAATTAAAGAATAAATTTTCATTGAACAATTGCAAAATTATTATTTCATATTATTTTCAAATTTAACAATCAAATTAATTATGAAAACTATAATGTAGTTTTTTTTGTCCTATTAACACAGAATACATTTCTATATAAACGAAAAATTATTAGATTAGCAATAAAAATTCATGAAATTTCTTAAAATAGATTTATATTAATCTACATTTTTGAAATTTTAAACATTGATATTAATTCTTTGTATTAAACTACTAATACAACGAGGAAGAACTATGCGAATTCTATAGAATTAGAAGCGTGACCAGTTATCTAGTTGCTCGTAACCCGAAAAGTCATGCATTATCAGATAACGAAAAATTTGTGAGTTTATCACGAAAAGATTACGTTTTCACATATAACGATACGTTATATAAATTTTGATAAAATCTTGTCAACGTCAAACAAAATTGTGTTCCTATCTTATTTCTTCAACTAGACTAGTAAGTTTTTTTTGTCAATTATTGTACAAAGAAAACATGATGCTGTTCCAAGTCATATAAAAATAAGAACTATCGTAAACCCTTAGTTAGCTATGACAACACTATGTTTATTGTTCTTAGGATTTTGAAGAAAAACTTTGCTGAAATTTGATTGGGTAAAAAAAATTCTCTTCTAACCAATCAGATTTTAACAAAGGTTTTAGCATACCCCATTATCTAACGAAAAGACGAGTTTATGCTGAATTTTATCTGGACTAAATATTGTGTAACGAGAATTCCTAAACTCAAAGAATGTTCAGTGACTGATTTTTATAATTGCTAATTTTTAACTTCACTTCCTTGGTTCTACTGGTTAGAATCATTTCAGAATCTGACAATCAGTGATTTCCTCTAGTGAAATGATAAAGAATTTTTGTAACATATGCTATAGTAGAACAAAGATAACTATGGTAGATTTTTTATAATTCTATTTATTCATAATTAATTGAAAATAAGCAAAATTGAGAAAGATTTACATCAAGCAAACTATATATAAGAAGTTTTTAATGCCAAATGTTAAGTGCAGTATTTTTTTGATAGAAATGGATGCATCAAGGTTAACACACAATATTTGTGTATTAAAGAAATAATTCGTACACAAAACACAGATAGGATTGTTAGTAAAATGTAAATCAAAAAAAGTTGACATAGAGTTTAAGTAGTCAAAACAAAAATCCTTTTGTATTTTATGACTTTTTCTTTTTTCGTTGTTATTCATGTCTTTTAATTTTCATAGCCTATTTATAACAAAAAATAATAAATAAATAAATAATATTATGCATAGACTTCTTTGTTTGACATCTTATGTAAATAATTTATGAGTTGTGATTCATTGTTTTCTCTCACGATGAAATTATTCAATAATGTCAATTTATTATGAATAGTTTTTACCTCTTCAAATTGAAGCTAAAATCATACTATATATAGAATCTATCATATATTTTTACATACCTGCTACAAAGACTTGAGGTATATCAGGTATCATATCAATTGAAAGTATAGGTACTCCAGGATGTAAAGCACGTTTTACGGGTCCAAAGGTTACTTCCCATGTATCTAAATTACCAATTTTTTGTGGAATATATAATGGAAAACGACAATAACCAAGTGTTTTTTGAGTAACAGCTAAGAAATATAAGATTAAAGTTTTCAAGAGAAAAATTCTACTCTCATACCATCCAATCGTTGATGGACAAGAACAAGCGCTTGAATACGAGTAGGTATTAATGATTGATGAGATTGTCGAATTGATACAATTAATTTATCATTTGGTATGTCAATTGTAATTTTCTGCCATTTATGTATTGTTTGTTGATTTTCTAAAAAAAATTTAATATATTCAATTAAATTAAAAAAAAAATTAAAATAATCTTTACATACGAATTATAGGAATTGATTTTGTTGAAATAACACTTAATATTTCTACATCTTCATGTATTTGAATTTCAACAATTAATGATTTATAATTAAATTCTTGTTGAAAATCGTCTGTCTAAAACAAAACAAAAAAAAAGAAATTTTTTTATTAATTTAATTAATTAAAAAAATATTTTCAATATTACTATAGGTATAATTAAATTTAATGAAATATCTTTTATACCCATTGTTTCTAAATATGTTTTTTGTTTATTTGTTAAATATCGAATATTATTTAATGATTTCGATATATATAAACGTTGATTCATATCTGATATATATTTCGGATTATAATTTTTAATAGCAAGATGAATAAAAGCTCGTTGAATATCTAATGTATGTAAAAGATATGGTTCATCAAGAAAAATTTTTCTCATATCATTATAATCTTTTGCATACATAAAACGATTACGTAATAAATATAATATAGTTATTGTTGCATATTTTATATAAATTATATTCCATTTTATCATAAAAAATTGATCCCATAAATAAAGTACAGAATTACAATTAATTATACCAACAAACATCTTATCAAAAGAAAAGAATTTTTTTTTTAAATAATAAAATATAAGTGTATAACTTACTTGACTTATCCATTTTCGAAGAAATATAACTGGATCAGATATTAAATCATTTGTATATTGTATAGAATTATTATTTGATATATTTTCTAATGAAATAATTTCTTTAAAAAAATCCTATATGAACAAAAAAATTAATTTGTTTTATAAAATTGAATTTTACTATTAAAAAAAAAACAAAATAATATATACTTTTGGATTAATGTTTTTTTTACGTATATTTGATATTGATTTTAAATGTTCATAAAATTCTTGATCATTTGTAGATAAATCAATCATTATTTCATTTGCTATTGTATATATATTTGACCATTGTAAAAAACAATGATGAATAAATAAATTAAAATGCATAGCAATAATATAAAGTTCTTCATCTAGATTATATGAAAAAATTTAATTTTTTTTTTTTAAATAAATAAATAAAATACTTTTATTTTCATTATTATTATAAGATAATTGAAATGGTAATAACCAATATATAAAATAAGGTTGATAATCTTTTCTATATGTATATAAAATATTTAAAATTTTAATTGTAAATCGTAAATGTTGTTCTTCAAGATATGGATGTAATGCATGAATTTTACTATATGTCTAAATTAAAAAAAAATAATAATATTAATCTTCTATTCAGATTTTCTCTTCCGGAAGGACGAAGTCGATCTTCGAAGAGTCGCCATATTCACACCTGATAACAAATTAGCTCATTGATTTTCGAGGATGAAGGAAAATCTTATTCGAATAACTTATAATCGAACATTCTCAAGTGTGTGTGATCGCCTTTTTTGATCGAAACTGTACGCATAGAACAGGCGTAGTTCATTGTGAAATAGAGCCTCTCGAGTTGGTCTCCAGTCGTTGAATACAAACAACCGAAAAAAAAGGATCTCGTATCTTGAGGGTGACTATTCTATTCCGATTAGAAAATTTCATTAAGAGTATCAAAGTACCGTTTGACTAGATTCGAGTACGAAAATTTTAGATCCGACAGGCTTTATTGTGAAAGTTCTACTAACGCGGAAACCATCCGAGGTGTCAAAAAGCTTTTGAGCTGAAATTTTTCCCACAAGTAGGGGATGCATAGACTAGAAAAAGTCTAAAAGGATATGAGTCCAAGTTGGGATTTGACTGAGATATCGACTATTTACCATGATTTTACTATAGGATCCTACTTGTCCGATAAAATCAAAGTTTTGAATTTAGGCCTGAAACTTTGTCCACACCAAGGTCCCAATCAGACAAGCTTGCCTACAGAGTTTTAGAACTCTTGGATAGACTATCTCTGAGATATGAATCTGCCAAAATATCTATGTGAAATATTATATCCATAAAAAAGCGTCTTTATGCTAACATACTAGTATCTCGGAGGTAGTCTATCCTAGAGTTCTGAAACTTTGTAGGCAAGCTTGTCTGATTGGGGCCTTGGTGTGAACAAAGTTTCAGGCCTAAATTCAAAACTTTGATTTTATCGGACAAGTATGATCCTATAGGAAAATTATGGTAAATAGTCGATATCTCAGTCAAATCCCAACTTGGGCTCATATCCTTTTAGGCTTTTTCTAGTCTATGCATTTCCTACTTGTGAACAAAATTTCAGCTCAAAAGCTTTTTGACACCTCGGGTGATTCCCTCGTAAGTTTTGTGATTCGCATCCGAAAATATCAGTATATGAAGAATGATTACCTTTCTTTTTTGTTTATTAGGAAGTTTTTATCATTCATATGTCAAAGAAGATCATACAAAAATCAATGAAACTTTTGCAATGGATTAATATCATCGAGAGCTTTATTTACGCAAAGTTTCAAATCGAACTTTGATTTTTATGGTGATATAAAGTAGATAACAGGTTTCAGTTTCTTAGTAATTTCATTATTCGAGTAAGAATAATTAAATTTATTAATTAGAAGAGATATGATATTACTTTTTCTTGTTCTTAGATACTCTTTTAACATACATCATTGATGTATAAAATAAAATATACTTACTTCGATAACAGCATTTTCAATTACATTTGTTACTGGTGTATTTGATGGATTTTTTAATTTAAGTTCATGTTTTCCTCGTGTAACACCAGCAGCAAAATCACGTCTTGCTTGAAATTCAACAAAATTCTGAAAAACAAAAACAAAGAAACACTTTTTTTTCTCCAAAATAAAAGATTCAACATACAAAATCATTTTCAAGTGGTTCCTTTTCAAATCGAAGTAAACATTCTGTCCAAATAAATTGTCGAATTGTTAATGGTAATTGTTGACCAAATAATTTTTCTTTTATAAATATAATACGACGTAAATCACATTTAAGTAATGCAACAATAGATTTTGATATTATATTACTATATTGAGATGTCATAGGATGAGAAGTTGATGATAATTCTAATCAAACAAATATTCAAAAACTAATTTAATCGTTTAATTAAATAACTTATTAGTAGATTAAAATTTTGTTATTCAAATCACTTGACAATATCGTACGAATGAAATACAAATACGATTTATGAGTAAAATATAAGCTCAAAAGTAAAAATTTTAATTCATAGCAATGATTGATATGGAGAAGTAGATAGTCTAACTGAAAACTAAATATTTTCTTTTGAGAAATACGAACCATTAATGATTGGTAATTTTTTTGAATTAATTTGTGAATCTCGAAGAATTGCACGAAATTTTGATTGACTAATTAATTCATATTGATTTTTTGTTTTATTTATTTCTTGTAATTTTTTTTCTTCTTCTTCTTCTTGTTTCATTATTTCTTCTTTATGTTGTATTTGATATAAATAACGTTCAAATGATTTACATACTATTTCATATGTATATTCAAGAAAATTTTTCATATCATTTGATAATCGATTAGTACTAAAAGATTAAATATATAGTCTCGAACGAAAATAGTTGCCATCTATGAAGTTCTACTATTCAGCTAATATTTTGAGTGCATGCAAATGACTATAAGCTCCTATTTTCAAGAACCAATTGGGTTCTAAAAGGTTTAAAGCTGCAAGATTGAATGAAATCAAGTTACCACTACGACATGGATTTACGATCTCAGAACAAGCTTATTAGTAAGATCTTGTATATGTACCACAGACTTTTGTGATAATATTTTTACCAGAAGAAAAAAGATGTGTGAATCATAACTCCAGCACATGTAAACTGATGTTTGCGAACAGAAAATTATTGTCTCACAAATAACACACTCAAAGTATCAGCTCAGTAGTAGAACTTCATCGAGGGTAGCAACTGTTTTATGTTGTTTTTTTTTTCTCTAATATTTACTCTTGATCTTCTGTTACAGCTAAATAAAAATTAAAAAACAAAACATTATTATATATATGTAGAAAAATGAAATGTAAATTGACATGTACTTGCTCCTATGTCAACTGCTGCTTTAAAAACTTGTATTTGTAACCATGATTTAGCTTCATTTTCAAGTTTACGTCGATGGTCTTCAAACATATAAGGTGAAATCTATCAAAAAAAAAATAGATTAATCTCTATTAACAAAATTTATATTCGAAAAAGAAAAACTAACTAATATATGAGGAATATCAGGTTCCAATCGAAAAAATTTCCATTGAAATTGTGTACCAAGTAATTCAATAAGTATTTGATGACGATGACGATTATGAAATTGTTCACGTGTTCTAATTGCTAAAATTGGTTCAAGATCATTGAGAATCTAATAAGATATATTTTTAAAAAAAGAAAAGAAGTAAATTTTTCTTTGTATTTTGTAAAAAAGAAAACAACCTTTTGCCATGGACTATCAGGTAAACATGTTTGTTGATAACTTGAATCAAGCCATTGAATATTAAATGGTAAATATTTTAAATTATTTAGTCTTTTATTATTCTCAGTATTAGTAGGATTAATATTAAACATTATTTTAAATTATATTTTATTTGAATTTGATGAAAAACAATATTTATATATCATATCAATATATTCATTTTCATGAATAACACTATTACTATGTGTTCGACATCGTGATAAACAAATATCAAATGATGTAGATAAATGTGAAAGAAGTAAACTTGTTTTTAAATCTCGTGAACGAATATAATTTTGAAGATAAATACGCTAGAAAGAAAGAAAAAAAAAACAACTAATTAATTCATTAGAATATGAAATGTTTTACATGATCAGGTTTAAGACAACAAGATATACAATGTTCAAATGAACTACAACAATGAGTAGTAGATGAACAACTATCACATATATATGGACCACGAATAGATGAAGATTTCAATTGACAACAACCATTTGTCTTTTCTAAATGACGACGTTCACAAAGATAACCTAAATATGAAAAAAAGAAAAGAAAAAGAAAAGCGCTATGTTCATAAGGATATTAAGAGTTATTTAAAATGCAAGAAAAAAAAAAGCGTTTTCTCTCTCTTTTTTTTATAGAAAACTTTGAATAGGCTAAGTGTGAGGCTTCTATTGGTAAATTTTCTCAACCAACAATATTATTTTCAAGTCAATATTAAAACTAATTCGATACCTTTACTATCAACAACAAATGATTGTTTTCCTTGAGTAAAATGTTGACATTTAGTTAATAATTTATTATCAAATAGAATAGCTTCTTCTAAATTGTCTAAATTTGTTTTTGGTGTTGCATGAATAAAACGATTAATAATTAATTTCTAAATAAATATATTCTCGTTCAATAAATAAAACAATTTGTATATATATATATCTCATACATATCTTTTCCACCAATGCCAAGAATAAATTCCAATAAGTATACATATCAAACAAATAATTAATAGAACACTTTGTTTAAAATGAATTCTCATGGAAAATTTTTTATTTCTCTAAAGTTAAATAATATATATTTATTTATTTATTTATCATTTGTTTGAGATATATTACATTGTTTACATTATTATTTTTTTTTTGATTTTATTTATATAATGATGATGATCATAAAAGAATAAATAGATATAATAGAACACAGCGAGAAGACAAAATGAAAAGATTGGTTTTTTTTCCTTTTTTTTTATTTCTATACACATAAACATATGCGCCAAAAAAAAACGAGTGAAACAGAGAAAGAGACATTTATGGAATTACCAAAAAAAAAAAAAGAGAAAGTAAGGATATGGAATGGTAGAACGCTCACAAGAGAAGAAATAGGTTAAAGGATTTTGAAAAGTCACCGGAAACAACAATGAATATTATTTGATTTTTTCTTCTATAAATTAAAGTAATTCGTCAACAATAGCATCATTAAAAGATAAATTTGCATATGCATGTTGTTGGGAATCATGTCCGGTATTATTTGAAGATTTTTTTTTACGATAACGTTTTCGTATTGATGATGATGATGATGTTAATTCTTCACTTGATGAATGTCCATCATTATTATTATGTTCTGTATGAAAATAATATTGATTATTTGCTGTTTTAAATGTACTAAAATTTGCAACTAAACCAGCTGAACCAACAGGACGACGTGATGGTGATAATTGTGATTGTTCTTTTGTTGTTGTTGTTGTTGAATCAACAATTGTTTGTGTTGGAATAGTCAAATCAATTAATTGTGAATTTGGTGATGATGTAGATTGAGATGATGATGGAGATATTGTATTTGTTTTAGTTGTTGTTGTTGTCATTGGATTTTGTTGTTTAGTTGTTAATTTTGCTTTAAATGGTGCATTTGTAAAAACATCTTTTGATATTGATGATTGATTATTTTGATTTATTGTTATTGCTGGACTATTTGTTGTAGTATTATTATTATTACCTGGAGGATAAGATTCTGAATGTGAAATTTTTTGTTTTGATATATTGAAATTATATGTTGAATCAGTTACTAAAATAGAATATGTTTTATAACAATATAAATTTTATGATTGATTAGTAATCTTTACTTCGTATTTTCTTACATCATGGTGTATTTATTTTTCTCTCTCTCTGTATTTATGAAAAAAATTAATATAAAAAAGCTTCTGTCTTTACTTATGTTACTATCAAATATTTATTATTTTACAGGTTGAGTCACGTAAAAACCTTGACATATTTATGTTAATGAATGATGAAATATTTCTTTTCCGTTTTTTTTATATTGATTGTAATTTATTATGTTCATTAACATAAATAAAAAAAAAACTTTTATAATGATTTGTATTACTAATCCTCTTTTGTTTCTATTGAAAATGTATTTCCGTCATATCAATTTATAATATAATAGAAAACACGAATGATATGAATCATAATAATATTCAACAGCAACAAAAAAAAAACAAACTTACACGTGAAATACTTGGATTGTTTTATCGTCTTTAAACTTATTATAGAACTATATAAGTGCATCTAATTAAATTCTAAAAGAATTTATGTTAATCAGTTAGTTATTCAAAGTTACATATATATTTTAAAGTTTTTTGCCTTATAAGGCAAAGAATGCTTCAAATGATAAATTGTTTTGAAACTAACGAGGGAAGGGTCCCAACTGTCCAATCGCTTTTGAGCCGAGACTATGTGCATTATGTAGATCCAAATGAGTTATGAATACTCTGAAAAAAGTTCAGACCGCTAGCCTATTGCTACGGAGATAGTGTACTTTTACAGTATTCTTTAAAAATGAATGCCGTGATCCCCCTCAGGAACAGCAGAAAAACTGATTTTTGAATTTCGACTTGAAACTTTGGATAGAGACAGACCTTAATCGGAATAGTTTATTCTGAATGTTTCTAAGATTTTTTTATCTGCTTCTATCCTAAAATAAGAACATCAAATCTGTCAATTTATATAGACAAGTTATTCATAATTGTATCCTAGGATAGAAAGGGCGAAAAAATCTGAAATATTCACAGCAAACTATTCTCATTAAGGTCTGTCTCTATCCAAAGTTTCAAGTCGAAATTCGAAAATCAGTTTTTCTGTATTCCTGAGGGGGGCCACGGCATTTATTTAAAAATACTGTAAAAGTACACTATCTCCGTAGCAATAAGCTAGCGGCTCGAACTGTTTTCAGGGTATTCATAACTCATTTGGGTCTATATAATGCACATAGTCTCGGCTCAAAAGCGATTGGACAGTTGGTGTCCTTCCCTCGTAAGACTCTTGTTCAATCGATAGAGGATAGTGAGTATGTAAATACTCTAGAATGATTCTAGCTACTGGGTCTTTTGTTGGTGAAACTTCGAATATTTAGTAAATTTTTTCATTTTTCAAGCCAAATTATACGTTTGAAATTTTTCTTTATTAGACTATAGTATTTGTAGAAGAATCAAATGAATGTATTTCGATCTGAAATTCTGTTCATAAAGACCCTCCTTCTCGCTTTAAAATCGTCGACTAGTCTAAGATTTGTAAGTTTCCGAGATAATAGAAACTCATTGTAATCTAATATTTTTTGTATTGTATATGTCTAGTAACGCACAAAGAGATTTTTTTCGTGACCTGAAAAATACATGTGGACATTCATCATTTGTCGATCGCTGTCAGAAAACTGTGGAATCGGAGTATGCTCAATTACTGAAGTCTTGCTTTTGCACTCTTGGTTTATGCACCGTTTAAAAAAAAAGAGAACTATACTAATTTTTATTAACTTGAGAGAAATACGGGGGAAATCCTTGAATGAAAAATGTTACAATATCAATTTTTACAATCTAAACTAACTTTTTCTTTCTGAGAAATAGCATACTCTTTTATGCAATCATAATCTATATATAGAAACACACGTGATGAAAATATCGATGACGATTAACATGATAGGAAAAGTACAACAAACGTAATGACATCAAAAGAAAAAAATCCAAATGATAATGTATTATGAAAGAAGAATACAGTTGGATAGAAAACATTACGAAGTAGATTTTGATCATTCCGTGACAATTTCTATTAATCTTTTAATTTGTTCAACAAAATTATATTCCAACATGTAAAGCATAATTACAACATATAAAAGGTTAGTTGCAATAGAAATTCATCTTTAATCCTTTCCGGTCGGATGTATCCATATGGATACATTTTTACAAAGAACTGAGTTACAATGATGACATCAAATTTATTGACAATTTGATAATTAAGTTCGACACACATTCATGCGTTTAGAAGAAGGAAAAAAACATTCACTAAGAAAATGACCGATTCCACCCACAATGCCCCAAAGTAACATTCGTATAGAAATTAATGCTTTTTTCGTGTCTCTAAATAATCTAGCTTCGAGGCAATTAGTTGTTAATTTTCCTTCATAGACCTATTGTCTATTGCATTACTAAGACGGATTACTCAAAAAATCCGAACAATAAAAATTTATGAAAAAAGTTTTTTGCTACCTGTCTTCTGGTATCCGTACTGACACTTTTCTTCTGTGAAATATTGAATTTTTATAATAATTATATTTTTCTATAGATATTAAGTCGTTAGATCTGAAATTTAGTGACTTATAAAAAGTGATTTGACTTTTTGCGTCGCACACAAAACCTTAAAATATTCGCAAATCCTATCCTGATTAGTTTCTTTTTTATTTTTTGATTCTTATTTGTAAATATTTTTTTTCAATAAAATTTAAAGATAATAAATCTGATTTTTTTTGTTTTAATAACTACATTCAATTATATCTAAAATGAAATTTACCATTTATAATAGAATTTGGTTCTTGTCTATGATATGGAGCAAATGCACTAAGTCTTTTTCCAACTACAATACTTGTTGGATCAAATGAATTCATATTTGATATAGTTGTTGGTTCAATATGAGTTGATAAAGATGATGATTGTGTTACAGGTTTATGTGTTGGTGAACGATGAGAATAATGAAATGGTGCATGAAGAAATGGATTAGTATTATCAATAAAAGAAGAATTTGTTTGATTATTATGCTCATTAATAGTACGTTTTGTATCATTAGTTGGATGTGTTTTTGAATTTGTTGTAAAAAGATTAAATAATTTTGTATGTGAATCTAAATTAATTAGAAAAACAAAAATACAAAGAAAAATTAATGAAATCGAATATCAACAAAAAAAAAACTTTTAAAAGCCAAGGGTGTAAGAATCAAGAGAATTAGTGGCAAATAGATTTACTTTTGCATTTTTTATGTAATTTTTTTTTTCTTTCCTTCTTAAAACCAAGTTTTATTTTCTATAAAATCTGTTGATAAAATATTTTAAAAATGAAAACAATTTTTTTTGTTATTATCACTTACGAGATGAAGGTTTTGTTATAGAAGAATTTATTTCATTATTATTATTATCATCATCAGAATCTTGAAAATGTTCATATTGTTGTTCTTTATAACGTGTTGTTATAAAACGACTACTTTTATTTGTATTAATTGTTTGAATAGGTGCAGTAGTATCATCATCGGAATCTTCATTAATAAGTTGATCAAATCCAACATTATTACTATTATGATTATTGTTATCATCATCATCATCATCATCATCATAATCTTTATTATCATCATCAGAATCATTTTCATTATCTGATTGATCATTCATAGGAATAGGATGTTCATTAGAAAGTGTCATAGAATCTTTACGTTTATTAGGTGTTGAAGATGCATTAGGTTCATCTTGTTGTTGTTGAAGTGAACAACGTCCAATTAAACGTTTAACAAGATTTTTATTTGTTATACTAGGTGATGATATATGTTTTTCAACTTCTTCAGTTGATGGATGATGACTTGAACGTAATGGTGTTATTGATATTTGAGATTTTTTTTTGTTTTTCTGAAATAGAAAAAAAAAAAAAAAAATAAATTTTTTTTTTTTTTGCTTTATAGAATAATAAATTTTTTTTTTTACTTTGTTTGATTTTTCATTATCATGTGATAATGATGATGA